TAAAATGTGAAAGAAAAATAAGAATCTCACTCAGCCAGCCTCTTCTACTTTCTAGACCCCATTTTACGCTTTATTACACCAATCGGCTTCGAGATCCTCTGCGAAGCATGGCCTTGACTGGCCCCACTGATTGCTTTCCTTAGTGGCGATGGGCCTAACTTTGGAATCATGCTCCTGCCGCGAGTTAGCAAAACACGACATTAATACTTATATAAAATGTCACTAATTGTGTTATATTAGATGTGTGTTTTTGAAAGATATGTGTACACAGTTTGTGTTAGCGTCGTGGAAAAAAGTACCTAAGCTCCGGGCTTCTTGTTTGTTTTGCAAGAGCTTTCTCCATCTTTGGACCAATGCTGTTGTTAATAAGCTTAGAATGTTTGTTAAGCTGCCAAAGCAAATCCGACTCGGAAGAATCACTATTTCCAGCATCAAGCTCGTCCGAATCATCAGCAGCATTAATAACACCAAACTGATTATTTGCAGAAAATAGGCCGTTCGGCTTCTTCTCAGGGAGAATATACATTGATGAATCCAATAATAAGCATTTCTGATTAAAGGGGCTCTCCTCAGCTCCATTTGGATTATTTTCTTGCTTGTTCACCATGAGCTTGTCGACCCACTCGCCCGGGCCCACTTCTCTATCTTCTTCTGTATTGTTCTGGTCAAGGGTAACGAGCGGCGGCCAGGTAGGGGAGTTCCCGAGCAACACATCAAGGTCCATGTTTTGATTCTTTTGCCTCAATGCAGTATTATTGCTTCTAACCTGTATACAAATCAAATGAGTCGAAAGGGGTCTTTTTGGCAAATATCTGTAAAGGGCTGTGATTTTGTGTTGAATTGAGATAAATAAAAAATTAATGGAATGACTTGCCTTGTATGAACTTCAACAAAAGATTATGATTTTTTCGTTTACCTCAATGTTGCCTACTTCTTCCATCGGTTTTCTCAGGCCATTTGGTGAAATCAAGGCTGTGTTTTTAGGTTGAAAAGGTGATGGCTGCTGCATGTTACATGGACTGCCGCCACCTGGCTTCTGCTGAATCGCAACTGGTTCGCCATCTCTCCTTGCTAATGCTGCCTTGAGGCTGGCAATCTATCATTAAAAATAACTATCACTAAATTGAGCTCCGAACAAAGAGTCATTAAAAATAATGCAAGCTATATATATAAAGGAAAGTGTACGAACCTGCTCTTTGAGTTCTTTAACATCTGATGAATCCTTATTCACTCGTGCGGCACCAAGTTCTACAGTCGCCACACGCTCGGCAAATTTAAGTGTGCTGATTGTCTCCCCAATAGCATCAGGTTCAGGGCTTATATGAACAAACATCAGTGTTTTAGCTTGCCCTCCTGTACCAACAAAAGTTCAAGGCGAATAAAAGCTGTGAACAATTATTGCAATTTGGCAAATAAAAGCTGAACCGAATCAGACTTACAAAGTTCATGCAGAATCAGAAGTGGAAGTTGCCATTTGAACAGATTTATGTATTTATTTTTTTACAAAAAGCCAACAATCACACGTCTCCCTTTCTTCAGTTATTATAAAAACCATTATGCTTACCAAGTGAATCTTGCAGCAATTGAGTGAGTTTGCTATTTCTGTAAGGGACATGTGAATTCTTCTGGGCAAGGGAGGATATGACATCACCCAAGGCAGAAAGTGACTTGTTAATATGCTGAGCTTCTTTTAGCCTGTCCCCCGTAACTTCCGATTTGTCGACTCTCTCACTTCCGGCCAAATCAACAAGATGCATGCAACCTCGAAGAACATTTCCGGTAGTTAAATCCTTTCCTTGGACATGAACAGTTAAACAACTGCAACAAAAAAAAAGAAACCAAGTTCAGTCGAAAAGTCACTTTCGAAGCATGGATTTGTTTAAATTAAACACACACACACGCACACACACACAAACACACCTGTGAGATCGACTACTGCGGTCATTGAGTGCTGTTGCACCTACTGCTCGATTTCTTTGGCCGACGTTCATTAAATCAATAACATCGGATGTTGAGGACACATTGATCAAACTTGCATCTGGTACACTCAGTCCTGTTTGAGAACTATTACGAATTTCTAATGTATTTATTAGTTAAGGAACAACCTTTACAAAAAAGTTTTGAAACAATAATGGCCATAGTGCTAACAAGTTGTACAGAAAATCCATAAAATTAGTATTAGTAAATATTTTTAAACTTTCTGGTGGCACAACGGTGGTCGGCATGTAAGGAAATACTTTTAAAATTTTATGAGGGGCTAATAACAGTTTATGGAGAAATGGATTGAGAAAGGATATCTTTTGGTCAAGCCATCTGTAGTGAGAAGATCCCTGACTTGTTCATTGTAAATCTCGATCATCTGAACCGAGACATCATACAAGAAGGTGTCCTGCCTCTGCTCGGCAAGGAGAAACAAATCACTTAAAGCCCTGTAATTAACCCCTTGACTATGCTCAGTGAGATCCCTTGGCCCAGTCTGGATAAAAGTACAAATGAATAAAAATTAGCACTAATTCTGACATATTAAATTGAAACAAGCACGTTTATTTCGAACTTACCATAGTGTACGTTTTGCCTGATCCTGTTTGACCATAGGCAAAAATGCAAACGTTATAACCATCAAGGACCGATCTTACTAGTGGTCGGGTGTCTGAAAATACCTCCTCTGTGAGAATAGAAACATATTAGCTGAGTTTATCTTCATTTTTATTTTTATTTTTTATTTTTTTTTTGGGTTGAATACCTCAATATAAAAGTCCCGAGCTAATGATCTAACCTTGTGTGGCAGAAGGGCCAAACACTTTGTTGAAGTTGAAAGATTTTTGCCCTTTCCCATTTTTTGCTAATGTGTTTATCATTATAGTTCCTTCTTCAATATGGTCCACTGTACTCAAGCAATTAAATTGTCCGGACAAGAATGGTCTGACACGGCAATACACCCTTATGTTGCCTGATGCAATTCAAAGATTAAATGAACCATCAGTTTACTTGAAAATCAAGATGGAGGGATCAGAAGAACAAAAATAAGAGCATATATACAGTATTACAAGAATTTTACCTTTTAAGTCCTGGACTTTATTATAAAGCTTCCGATTTTCCTCAAGAACTCTGTGATAACTGGAAGCAGCATGAGCTAGTCCATGAATATGGATGCCTGTACAATAAAAAGAAACAGACAGAATTGAAAGGAAGCAATCAGAAACACTTGATCCGAATATAATCACATGAATATATGCCACAAATTTAAAATTTCGTACCAAGATTGTTAACTTCTTCATGGAATTTCAATTGCATGTACTGCATGCCCGATTTTGTGGTCGAAAGTGCTTGCTTGAGCACCTAACCATCAATCAAGATAAAGCAGTTCAAATCACCCAAGAGATTGAGGGAATTTTCAAAGATGTGTACAATATAACTACTTCAATCTGATCAATACCTCAATGTCTTTCTGTTGTTGGTCGACAATCGTTTGCTGCTTCATGAATCTACCCTCAGATTCTTTATCAAATATTTGGTTCTTTTGTGATATCTGGTCTCTGTTTGCAACTGCAGCACTATGTCCTTCGATCTTATTTTGAAAATGTCAGAAGCATGTGTCAGTGAAGCAGACACTCGTGGATAGATTTATCATTTTGTAAAAAGAGTTTGCTTCAGATTTTAAAAGCAAAAGATTACCTGCACATCATGTGTTGCAGGCTTTAACACAGATTTGTTGCCACTAGAAATATTGGAGTCTCTTAAATTATTAGCCTTTTTCTGTTAGAAACAAACAAGCACCATTTATATAAATTTATATATGTTAAACAATTCACAAATAACAAATGTCAGCTAATATTTGCACAACAGTTTAAGCACCATATGTTAACAAAGTTATTTACAGTAGAAAAAAGGTTCATATAGGGGTGTTAAGAAAAACAAACCAAATCAAGTTTGTTGGAAATGTGATGTTCGAACTCCTCCATGACCTTACCCAGTAATGACTCAACAAGCTGCAAATGAAACAAAGAATAACATCTCAAAATCAAAAGTGGTTGTTAACATATCTGTAGATTCATGTCTAGATATACTACTACATATCCAGAAGAAACAAAAACATTTTCTGTAAAGAATAGCATGTAATTGAAGCTATTAGTCAAAATGTTCATGAACCAAGAAAGATCAAAATATTGGAAATGTGAATATCATACATTTGGAACTTCGTCCGGCTTTCTATCTGATAGAATTGCTCGAACAAGCACGCTCAAGGAAGAACTAGGCTGCAAAAATAATTTTGTAATGGTAAAATAAGTAAATAAATAACAGTAACTATATATACTGCAGGTAGGTAGGTACTTAAGCACACTAAACTGGAACACTTCAATCAACAGCTTATGTACCGTTCTGTTTGTATCTTTGTTAGGACATATTCCATTCAAGGACTTCTCGTTCGCAGACACGGTCCTAGAAAGAGAATTCATGAATGGCTCCGAATTTTTGCGAACAAACTGTTTTCCAGATGTTGAGGGTTTCAGATTGCCGCCAAATTTCCAGACCCCATTTCCTCCTGCCTGTCTCCATTCATAATAGGACTTAAGTGCCAACACACAGTTCACTACCCTTGAAGATTTTCCTCCCTGCCAAATATAATAAAATAAAATTCGGCCATTGTGACGTCTTAAATTGAACAGCTCAATGTACGATATAAAACAAATGAATCTTCCCAGATAAGGCAGCCGTAACGATGAAGCATCTATCTAGTTTTGGGACACAATTTTTTTATTAAATGCTGTCACAGATATTCCAAAGTTTTAGAAACCATGACGAAATCTCCACACCAACGAATTCAAAACATGTCAACCCTAAACCATTCTTATTGTACACTATTCAAAATCTTCAAGAGCTATCAATGGTAAACATCAATGCCGACCTGCTCGAGATCAGAGGCCTCAAAAGTAGGTATACCCATCTCTTCCATGGCTACAAGGAAATTTCTCACATTTTCAAAGTACTGATATGCTGACAATGCAGCCCCATCTGGTAAAAGTGCTGAATCACATGGACTTTCAACTACCTGCAAAAAAAATTATATACACTAAAATCAATCTGGAGTCACAATTAAGGCTGCTTAGTGCTCCCCCTAATAATTACATGTATGATAATCGTTCTACAAAATTTGAAAAGAGAAAAGAAAAGCTCGATTATAAGACAAGGCATGCATGTTAGTTAGTTGTTACCTACCTTTAGCACAGCTCCTTGCTGAATTTTATTGAGTGCATTGCATAGAACTATTCCACTCCTTAATCCAAGCCTAAATTCTTCCTCCGAAGGCTCAGCCGGTAAATCCTTTGCACCCACTATTCCCACTAATTTTCTCAACCAAGCTGCAGCTTCATATCTTCTCAATGCTGCATATAAAGATATTGACTTTATAAGAACATAAACTGCTGAAAAAAATAATAAAATATATATACATTTGTTTATATAGGTACAAATTATTTGGATTTATTAAAATCGGGTTTGTGAAAAATTATTAGCTGAAAATATAATTAGGTTGATTCTAGTGAAATTGCAACTAATTCCAAGGCTTCTGTTTTTCTCTATCATCAAAATATGGTTTGAAACCAACATCATTCTACACAACATATGCCTAATCACATCGAACTTCACATCTTAACGCATCAACAGAAAATCAAGAAACTTGAAAACCTTTCTGTATTTATCAAAAACTGAATTTTTCGATCAACAAGAACGATCATAGCCAACCAAACAATCTAATGACTACCAAAATTCATCTTTCCAAACAATTCAGAACCTTGACCGGGCAACGAGTTACCGATTCAATCTTCGAAAAACAAAAACAGAGTCGAAGAAATTACCGGCTTCCTCCGCTCGGCGAGCATCAAAATCAAGCTCACGAGATCGATGCCCATGCTTCTGCAGGACTCCTTCCACAACCGACGCCACAGAGAAGGAAAGTTC